GGGAGCTCTGGTAGCATAGTGCCTAAGGCACTTGACTGCTAACCAGAAGGCTGGCGGTTCAAACCCACCAGCCACTCCTCGGAAGGAAGGTTAGGCAATCTACTTCCATAGTGATACTGCCTCGGCAACCCAAGGAGGGGTCGCTATGAGTCGGGTCCGACTCGACAGCACATAACAACAACAACAGGAGAGACCCATTGCTGCATTTAGATAATCACTTACAAGCTTTTAAGATCCCAGTTGCTACTCACCAAAATAGGATGTGAAAAAATGTTTTTGTGTAGTATGTTATCAAGATAGCATTGTTTTTAATAGTAAAATAATGGAAACTACTTAAATCAACAGACAAATGATTACATATGACAATGTTATCCATTTTGTGGAATAACAGGAGGCAGATAAAAGGAATAAGGTAGGGTTATAGACACTGATTTGAAAATATCTCTAAGACATATCAGGAGCTCTAAAAGTGTAGTGCCGAAGGCATTTGACTGCTAACCAGAAGGCTGGCGGTTCAAACCTACCAGCCACTCCTCAGAAGGAAGGTTGGCCAACCTACTTCCATAGTGACACTGCCTCGGTAACCCAAGGAGGGGTTGCAATGAGTCAGATCTGACTCCAAAGTAGTGAATTTTGTTTTTGGTTTGTTTAAGACATATTATTAGTGACACAAAAAAAACCCTAAGTTGTAGAATAATACTGTAAAACAGCAATACTCTAACTGGTCTCTCCGCTTCAGCCCTTACCTCCCTGCGATCTGTTCTCAAAACAACAGACCAATAATTCTGTTTAAACGTAAACCTGACTGTGTTGCTCTTGTGCTCAAAATCCTTCAAGGACTCCTCATTAAAGTCCTTATTAACCAGGCTACATATGACATGAAAAGAGCCCTAGTGGCACAGTGGTTAAGTGCTCAGCTGCTAATTGAAAGGTTAAAACTGTTCAAACCCACCAGCTTCTCCATAGGAGAAAGATGTGGCAGTCTGCTTTAGTTAAAGATTTCAGCCTTGGAAGCCCTATGGGGCAGTCTACTTCTCCTATAAGGCTGGTATGAGTTGGAATTGATGGCAACAGGTTTGGGCTTTTGTGTGTTTGTTTCCTTTACATGACATGATCTGCACTGTCACCACTCATTTCCTATTGTCCTCTCCTTTATTCACTGGGCTCCAGCCACACTGTCCTGATTGCTGTCTTTGAGATGTTGTGTGTCAGGTCCTTGTGTCTGCTCTTCCCTCTGCCTGGAATGGCCTTCTCCCAGCTACTCATACAGGTAGCACCTTCACTTCATTTAGGTTTTTAACTCAAAAGATACCATCTCAGCAAGGCCCTCCCTGTCCACCTTATCTAAAATAACCCCCTCCCTCGTATTTCATATTCCCTTTTCCTTATTCATTGTTCCTTTCAGCACTTAATATACTTCATATTTTACTTATTTATCTTGTTAGTTGTTGGGCTTCTCCACTAGAATTTAAGTACTATGAAAACAGGGATGTTGATCTATTTTGTACTGCTTCAGAAACCCAAAGGGGGCCACTATGAGTCAGAATCAATTTGATGGCAGTGAGGTTTTTTTTTTTGTTTGTTTGCTTGTTTTGGTTTTGTACTATCTACTATTGTACACTACATATCTAGTGTTGATTGTGGAACCAAATAATCTTTGATAACTTCAATCTTTCTCCATTTATTGTGATGGTGTTTATTGGTCCAGTTGTGAGGATTTTTGTTTTATGTTGAGGTGTAATCCATACTGCAGACTGTAGTCTTTAATCCTCATCAGTAAGTGCTTGAAGTCTTCTTCACTTTCAGCAAGCAAAGTTGTGTTATCTGCATATCACAGGTTGTTAATGAGTCTACCTCCAATCCTGATGTTGTTTTCTTCTTCATATAGTCCAGCTTCTTGGATTATTTGCTCAGCATACAGATTGAACATGGTGAAAGGATACAACCCTAAAAAAACACCTTTCCTGATTTTTAACCATGCAGTATCCCTTGTTCTGTTTGAATGACAGCCTCTTGGTCTATGTACAGGTTCCTCATGAGCACAATTAAGTGTTCTGGAATTCCCATTCTTCTCAATGCTATCCATAATTTATTGTGATCCACACAATAAAATGCCCTTGCATAGTCAATAAAACACAAGTAAACATCTTTTTGGTATTCTTTGCTTTCAGCCAAGATTCATCTGACATCAGCAGTGATGACCCTTGTTCCACATCCTCTTCTGAATCCAGCTTGCATTTCTGGAAGTTCTCCGTCAATACAATGTTGCAACCATTTTCGAATTATCTTCAGCAAGATTTTACTTGGATGTGATATTGATGATACTGTTCAATAATTTCCACATTCTGTGGGATCACCTTTCTTTAGAATGGGTACAAATATGGATCTCTTCCAGTCAGCTGGCCAGGTAGCTATCTTCCAAATTTCTTGGCATAGATAAGGAAGTGCCTCCAGTGCGGCACCTATTTGTTGAAACATCTCAGTGGGTATTCCGTCAATTCCTGGAGCCTTGTTTGTGGCCAATCCCTTCAGGGTAGCTTCACTTCTTCCTTCAATACCATCGGTTCTGGATCATATGCCACCTCCTGAAATGGATGAAGATTGACCAGTTCTTTTTGGTACAGTGACTCTGTGTTGTCCTTTCATCTTGTTTTGATGTTTCCTGCATTGTTCAATATCTTGCCTATTTAATCTTTCAATATTGCAACTCAAGGCTTAAATTTATTCTTTATTTCTTTCAGCTTGAGAAATGCTGAGCATGTTCTTCCCTTTTGGTTTTCTAACTCCAGGTCTTTGCACATTTCATTATAATAATTGACTTTGTCTTCTTGAGCTGCTCTTTGGAACAGAAGCAGCAGTCGAGAAATCAGATGACATACTGCACTGGGCAAATGTGCTGCAAAAGACCTCTTTAAAGTGTTGAGAAGCAAAAATGTCTCTTTGAAGACTGAGGTATGCCTAACCCAGGCCATGGTGTTTTCAATTGACTCATGTGTATGCGCAAGCTGGATAATGAACAAGGAGGACTGAAGAAGAGTTGATGCTTTTGAGTTGTGGTGTTGGTGAAGAATACTGAAAGTACCACGGACTTCCAGAAGAACTAACAAATCTGTCTTGAAAGTGCAGCTGGAATGCTCCTTGGAAGTGAGAATGGCCAGACTTCCTCTCACCTACTTTGGTCATATTATCAGAAGGGACCATTCCCTGGAGAAGGATATCATGCTTGGTAAACTGGAGGGTCAGCGATAAAGGGGAAGGCCCTCAATGAGATGGGCT